ATCTTAAATTTATACTCTTTGGCAAGTCCAGTAAAAGAGGAAAATGGTGCAAATTTAAAAGCTAATATCCTTCATTAAAACTTATTTCCTGCACCATAAGGAAAAGCAAAATGACCAAATCTTTGTCCACAGCCCTTTTTAATTTCTCCAAGATAATTTTTTGCCTCCCTTCCCACCTTTGCCTGTGTTTTCTCTTCACTCCCAGGTGCAGTCAGTTCTAGGAGTCACTCCTTTGCAGATCCTGCCAGTAATCTGGGTCTGGAAGACATTATTAGGAAAGCACTGATGGGAAACTTTGATGACAAGAGTGAGGAGCACGGGGTCGTCATGTCCCAACCTCTTGCGGTGGCTCCGGGCAGCTCCGGTGCCGCGGTACCGGCAAGTAACGAGACACGTAGGGAGGAAGCCAATCCATCTCCAAATTCAGGTATTGCAACTCCCAAATATCCCAGGGTCTTAAAGAAAATAAACAAATCAAGAGTTTGTATAATCTGGTATCACTGAAAATCACTATCTTTCCTCTGTAATTGGCAGAGGTGGTATTTGCATTTATTGTCCTGGCTTTTCCAACAACACTGCTGGAACAGGAAGAGGAGAATAGGGTGTATTGGATACCTGAAGCTACCTGATAATTTCTAGAAACAAACACAGAGAGGCTAAAATGAGGGTGGTGAAATCTGTCCCTTCTGTTGCCAGGTGGGGCTGTCAGCAAGCAGAAGCTCATTGGCAAATCAAACAGTAGGAAGTCAAAGTCTCCAATTCCTGGGCAGGGATATTTGGGAACTGAAAGACCTTCTTCTGTCTCATCTGTACATTCAGAAGGGGACTACCACAGACAGACTCCAGTGTGGGCCTGGGAAGACAGGCCTTCATCAACAGGTGAGGAATGGGCTTCTTTCAAAGGTGTTTGCAGAGCTCAGATATTTTACTGTAACGCCAGATATTGGCCAGAAGCTTCCAGCACCTGGGGGTTTTCTGCAACAGATTTTCTGCTAATTGTTACAACCCAAGCCACCACAGGTATCTCAGAACAGCTTGTGTTTTTGCCTTTTGATGCAGGTTCCACCCAGTTTCCATATAACCCTCTGACCATGAGGATGCTGAGCAGCACTCCCCCGACCTCCATCACCTGTGCCCCCCCATCCATGAGCCAAGCAACCACTCACCCACAGAACAGGATCTGGGAGCGAGAGCCTGCACCACTGCTTTCAGCACAATATGAGACTCTGTCTGACAGTGATGACTGAACTATGCAGATTTATTTTTTTTTTTTTTTTAATTTGCGGGTCAAAAAAAGAAATCTATTTTTGACTTGTGCCCACAGAGACTTTCCAAGAGAGCAAGGGCCACACAATGAAGAATTGCTGGAGAGTCTGTGAAATGCCTTCTGCACAGGCTGTGTGTTGGAGGATTGTGGTCGAGAAGGTTGACTTACTAAAGATAAATATGTAAAGAGTTTTTAAAAATGTGGACTATTCCTGCTCTACATCTATTTGTAAAGAATACCATAATGTCTTTTAAATCATTCTTCTGTAAATAGAGAGTACTTTTTGCAGTGTTTTTTCCCTTGCTATAGTATCTGGTGTACTTATGTTCAAATCATTGCCTAAACTTTGGGGGTCATTTTGTAATTTTTTTTTAAGCATTTTCTCCAGTGTAGAATACTCTTCATAACCCTAGCCTCCTTCTCAGCCTAGCCTAACCAGAACCCCAGCCTCCCAACCATCATTGCCCATTTAATGCCGTGCCACTTCCTGCAGGCATTGTGCTTTTATATATATATTTTTTTCCCTAGACACACTCTCTCAGTGGTGTTCAAGCTCTTGTGAAAATGTTGATTTTTAAGACTGACCCCTTAGTGAATTCTGTACATTATCATAACTCCAGTTTGCTGGAATAAGATGATATATTTCTTTGGAATTTGAAATTCTGCCACATTGTAAATTTTTGGTGCAGTTGTTTTGGTTTTTTTTAGCAACACTGCAGAAATATTATTGCATGGGTATGTTATGGTTCATTTTTAAAAGGTTAAAGAAACAAAAAAAGAACAGCTTCTGGAGGCATACCTCACTGTTATGCACACTGGGAATTTTAACTGTGCCCTAAAAGCCTATTCTTAGTGTTCTCTGTTTCTGCATTGTATGCAGTCAAAACAGGCTACTAAATTTTACTGTCATATTTAACCACAGCAAATGGCTTTTCTGAACAGAGGCTCCGGGTGGGTTGATAAATCCTTTAAGAAGAAAAACCTCCACATCCCAAGTTTAAATAAAAGAAAGTGCTTTTATAGAATAATTGAGCAACACACGAGTCAACTACTTGGCTTCTGTTACAACCAGTTTGAAATAGTACTGTGATTTTTTCCTTCCTCCAATCTGATTTTAAAACCTTTATGTAATTATTTTGAAGTCTGCATCCCAGTCCCTGTCCCTCTAAGCAAGCTTTTGGTGGAAGTCCTTACAAATGCTTGGCTTAACTCCTGAAGTGTGCAATACTTGTTAGGGTGACTTTTATTTTTTAATTGTATATGGTACTAGGAGAGTCTCCTTAATCATTCATCTATCAATGCTTGCTATGATATGCTTGTAGCTTATGTACACATCCATCTGGCAGTGATGTCACAGGGTGTCCTGCCATCCATCTCCAAAAGCATCTTCATTTTATGCTGCACTGACCTCAGGAAGTGAATTCAAATCTTCTGGGGTAGAAGGACTGATTCACAGATAGCACTGAGCTGGGGGGTGGTGTGGTCTGTCAGATTCCAAACTGGTTTTGCATCTCATTGGTCAACAGGGTCTTTGCCTTGGAGTTATTTTCCAGTGAAAAATATTTTGGATTTTGCCACTGTATTTGTGATGCATTGTATGGAAGGTGTAATGCAGTGTGTAACCTTGAGTCATGTGAGCTCTGCATCCTATGGACTGTGATGGTCCATTTACAAACAGGAAGAAGCACAGAACTATTTATCAATAGCAAATTTATTTTCAGTACTTTAAGGAAAGCCTTTTTGCCCCAAGTGTGGGAAACAAAATTCCAAAGGAACTCATTTGGAAACTTGACACTTGAAAATACAGAACTATTTTGCTACTTTTTTTAAACACTGCATCAGAGTAGATCCGTTGGCAGTCTTAAATCTCCTTGCAGTCTTTCTCTGAGAAAGATTTCTCTCATCCTCCCTTCCTTTACCCTTCTGGCTTGAAGCAGTGAAGTTTTCATCCTGTTTGTAGACCTGTGCTCTTATTTTAACTTTCTTTTTTGGTTCCCACAGCAACGTATACTGGAAAATTAGTTGATCTGCCCTTTTTGTAGATTGAAATTTAGAGTGGAGAGTTAAGTTCCATTCTTAAACTCACTTGTTCTTACTTTCTTAGTGTAACAAATACAATGTGAAAGAGGCATGTACAGACAAATGTCTTTGCTACCTGTACAGTAAGTATAGCATGTTCATTGCAAAGCTTCATGTTACTGCTGCAGCAGCAGCAGGATATCCAAAGTAGGATAGTCACAATCTCCTAAGATACAGCTTGAGTGGCATTTGCACATAAAATGTTGCTGCTTTTTTTTTTGTTTGTTATCTGAGTTTTAACTTCTCCAGTGTAAAAACCTCTCCAGAGCCTAAGTTAGGGTTTACCACAATTCCAGTAATCTTCAAGTATGGAATTACATCTGCCCTGTTTCAAACAGGAAGGTGTTTGTAAGTCATGTTTACAAAGTGTAGTTTACTACAAATTTTTTACCTGATTTCTGATCAGCGCTTTCACAATGCTTTCATCTTGATATGGTTCGTGATTCTGATATGAAATCATTTAAGACTTGAAAAACCCATGCATCATAATTTCCACACGATGTCTTCACTAGACAGTGACTTCTGGATTCAGACCAATCAATAAAGGGGATCAGTTCTCCACTTGCTTTTCCTGTGTCTCCCTTTTGTTTTGCAGCATCAGGCAAGACCCTGGTGCCAGGGTGCTGCAGGTAACACTGCTGCCCTCCAAACTCTGCTACTTCAAACCCAGCACTTCAGGGAAGGTTGGCTTTAATGTGCCAGAGCCTTTCTGTCAGTACAGCCCTATTTTTATTTCCTAGCTTGCTGAGAACAAAGCTCTGAATGTGACTGAAGTTTTCCAGCTTCAATGAACTTCTTCTCTAGCAAACCTGTGTGCCTCCTCCTCTTAGCTCAGAGATGGATCTGCTACTGTAAGTAAATTAATAATGATGTAATTACATTGAGGATTGTACCAACCAGCTGCAGTTCTGACAACTGAGAGGTTAAAATTGTGCTTGGATAGTGACAGAATTAGTTTTACTATCTTAACTAAATATGGATTTGGTAATTTCTGGTTTAATTCTCCTCTTTCTTTAACGTTAGGCTTCCTAGCAGGGCAGAACTGGGAAATTCTGTTGATTCTTTGTTGATTCACACAAAGGCACTTAGCTGACAAAGCTGGGTTTGTACACAGCATCTTTTCCAACAGGAGGCTTCGGCATTCTACCACTGACCTGTCCAAGAGAGGAGGACAACTCTGGCACTCTGTGTGCTCTCCACTGGAGCCAAGTGTTTTATTTCCAACAGCAGCTCTGTGTGGTAACAGTCTCTATCTTTGGATGCTAAATGAAGAAATAAACCTGATCTTCAGGCACCCTGTTGGACCGGGACAGGCAGCTACAGCTCTGTTGCAGGACAGGTACAGCCTGGGTAATGCTCTGCTTTAGTTCAAACACCCTGAGCTGCAGCACTGACAGAAGCACAGCCCCTGTTATGCAGTGTGTAAAGAGTGAGACAATTCCTGCCTATTCCTTTTCAAGACTTGCTCCTAGCACAGCCATGTTTTGAACCTGAACACTTTTGTGGGCAGGCAGGAGTAGCAAACTGCTACTCCTTGACTCTAACACAGGTATACCAGGCCAGACTTGCACTTAGGCAGCCAAAATTAAATCACTTAGCACAGTAGGGCAGTCAAACCACAGTAGGGCAGTCAAACCACAGACTACACCACAAATTCACACTTTAGATTTCACACCTTTATTTTGGTCTGTTAGGCAGTGGCAGCCCTTCCTCTTAAGCACTCCTGAAACTCCTCATTGCTGTTTCTCTGGAGAATTGCACCAAGCTGCTCCCAGGCTGCCTGTGCTGACCAGCTCTTGCTGCCTTCAGTCACCTCAAGGTTGGACTCTGTGGCCAAAATCAGTTGGAGCCCTTTCTCCTCTTGGCCAGCTCAGCTAGTTCCTCCTGGATATGCTGGACAGCAGCAGCATCTCCCTTCTGCTGTGCCTGCTTGAGAGCTTCTTTGTACACTTGTTTTGCTTGCAGGAAATCCTCTGTAGCAAGAGGGAAAAGAGGCTTAGCTACCCAGGTCCATCACTCATTTTCAGAGCCCCCTCCAGACGCTGATCACATGCAAAGGACAAGGACTACTTGGAACACACCAAGATCTAAGGAGGCTCAGAAAACATCCTGCCTGGTTGTCAACTCTGAGAGCTGGAGAGCAGCAGCGATGATGGGACCTGGTGCTGCTTCAGCACTAAAATCTCATAGAAACAAATCTCATGCATGTCTTCTGTCCTTTTGGAAAAGTTACTGGACACAAAGGACATGGGAAACAAGATCCCCTGGCAACCTTTTGGGTCAGGCTAAATTCAGTTTGTGAAAGCAATTCAAAGTCTTATCTACTACCTAAACTAAAACGAATAACCCCAAAGCAGCACTGTAGTTCAGCCCTACAACATAAACCCAGATCTCTGCAGTCAGCACAAGCTCAATGACAGGCTGGGCATTTATTCACTGACCTTTGTGCATCAGGATTGCTGCCAGATTATTGAGCACCACATGCTCCTCGGGGTGCTGAGTGTCCCTTGCTAGCTCTGCTGCCCTCCTGCTGTAGGCGAGCGCCTCCTCGTAGTGGCCCTGAGCATCTAGCACCGTCGCCAGGTCATTCATCAGCACCACACTCTGCACCAGGAGGGAAAAGGGAAGCTTCTGGAGCTGTCTGGGGCAGCAGAAGCACCACATTCATTCCCTGTCACACCAGTTAAAGCAGTATTTCCCATTTTTTTCCCAGAAAAGCATTGAGTAAGGAAGTGTCCTGTATTTCTGTATTTGCATGCTTGCCCTTCCTGGTAGGAAAACAGCCTCAGGTAGTGCTGGCCATGTCTGATGGCAGCAGAGCTGCTCCAAGGCTGCCTCATTCCCTGCAGATCAGCCTTGCCTTCCCTAGAGCCCAGCTACTGCTGTACCAATTACCTGTGGATGAGTCTCTCCCTGAACATCATTTGATATCTGCAGAGCCTTCTCATACACTTTCTGCGCTGCTGGGAGCTCATTGATATTCAGAAGGTAGCGGGCGTAGGAGTCCAGGCTCATCCCAAGCAGGAGCTGGGTGTTGGCCTTTTCTTCAGCTGCAAAGAGAGGGGAGTGAAGTGATCACTGCCACAGGATTCAGCGTGAACCTCCACCCTACCACAGCAGGAAACTCAGGCAGTGTGAAGACAATGGGTTGACATGAAGATGGTGCTTAGGTAATACAGAAACAGCATGAAGGACAGGGCCATGAAGAAAAGATGAGAAGCCTTTGGCAGACACGGCTGCCCACCTGATAAGACATCCTCAGGCAAGTCCTTCTGCTTGGCAATCTTCTCCTCTAAGGACAGGATGCAGAACTGGTAGCCTGCTATAGCTAATTTATGCCTGCAAAGTGCAAAGCAAAGCTCCTTCCATCCCTGAAGGATCCCTCATTCAAGAGCCTCTGCTTGGCCACCCCACCACCACTGCAAAGCTGAGATGGAAGCAGATGACACCTCTGGGAACTCACTGATTCTGAGCAGCGTAGATACTGGCCAGCTTGAGGGACATCTCAAGGATGGCGTTGTCATCCTGCCAGGACACACAACACAACCGTTACTCTCCTTGTACCTCCCCAACAGAAACATTACTTTGTCAGAGAGTTTAGACCTCAAAAATCCCCACCTTGTTGCCTCCAGTGCTGCCATCCATTACAGTACAGCCAATTTCCAATAAGAGGCATGACAGCACAAGAAATAAGGTCAAGAGCAGGGCACCACTGGGAGCCTTGTCTCAGAACATACCTCCTTTGCATCCCCTGCAAGCATATAGCTCATAGTTGCTTTGTAGAGCTTTTCTGCCTGAAACAAGAATTTTGAAGAGAACACTGAGGAATGATGGCATTCAAAACAAAACAGAGGCAAACTACATCGAGGGACCTAGCTCAGATTTGTTGCATTTACACTACACCAACACCAGTTAGAAGTGAAAGGCTGACCAGAGCGCAGCAGTACTGAACCAGTGGGTCCTTTCAGCTTCTCCTTAAGCACTGCTGCAGCAGCCAGGCCTTTACCCTGTCTGTGAGCTCAGGGGTTTCCCAGATTCTCCTTGGAGCAGCCATCTCTGTGCTCAACTGCAGCATTTCACAGTGAGAAGTATTCCTTCCCTTGCACACTGTTGGAACTCAAAATTTAACTGCAAGAGCATCTTTCTCAACCTGCTGTACTCATGGGACTGCAGCTCTGAGTGGATCATTCTGCTTTGCACTGGGACATCTCCGCCCCACAGCTCTGAGCCTGCAGCTTGTGCCAGCACCCCACACCTTCAAGACCGTGTACAAGATATCAATCCCTAAAAATACAGAGAGAAAAAACCAGTTACCCACATTGCCCAGCTGTCCCTGCAGGTAGGCCACGTTCCCCATCTGGAAAAGACACACAGGGCTCAAGCTCAACCCAGGCAATGCGGACGAGCCTCAGCCGCTTTTCCTTCTCCCTACAGCTGTCTCCCGGCTGCTCACCATGCTGTAGGTGTAGATGATGGCCTGTCTGTTCTCCTGCTGGTGCGCCCGGCGCAGGGCCTGGTGCAGGAGCTGCTCGGCCTCGGCCAGCTCCCCCTTCATGGCGCTGAGCTGCGGGGGCACCGGGCTCGGTCACGGCCGGGCCCCGCGCCCGCACCGCCCGCACCGCCCGCACCGCCCGCGCCGCCCGCACCGCCCGCACCGCACCTTGG